AGGGTTTTCACCATTTGAACTTGTATATGGCTGCGAGGTTAAGGGGCCATCACAGTTGGTGAAGCAGCAATGGGAGGGGTTTACACTTTCTCCAGGAACTAACATTCTGGACTTTGTAACCAACCTACAAAACACCCTCCGAACCTCTTTAGCCCTTGTTAAAGGGCTCTTGCTACAGGATGCTCAAAAAGAGCAAAAGGCCTGGTATGATAAACATTCCAGAGAGCATTCCTTCAAAGTAGAGGACCAGGTCATGGTCTTAAAGGCACTCCAGGCCCATAAAATGGAAGCATCGTGGGAAGGGCCATTCGCGGTCCAGGAGCGCCTGGGAGCTGTTAATTATCTCATAGCATTCCCCACCTCCAACCGAAAGCCTAAGGTGCACCATATTAATTCTCTAAAGCCCTTTTATTCCAGAGAATTAAAGGTTTGTCAGTTTACAGCCTAGGGAGGAGATGATGCTGAGTGGCCTGAAGGTGTCTACTATGAAGGGAAAAGTGCTGGTGGCGTGAAAGAGGTGAACCTCCTCATGACCCTTGGGCGTATGCAGCTACAGCAGATCGAGGAGCTGTGCACTAACTATGCGCCGACGTTCTCAGCCACCCCAGGACTGACTGAACGGGCATACCACTCCATTGACACAGGTAATGCTCACCCAAATAAAGTCCAACCTTACCGGGTGTCTCCTCAAGCTAAAACTGCTATAGAACAGGAGATCCAGGATATGTTATAGATGGGTGTAATCTGCCCCTCTGGCAGTGCATGGGCATCTCCAGTGGTTCTAGTTCCCAAACCAGATGGAGAGATACGTTTTTGCGTGGAGTACAGTAAGCTAAATGCTGTAACTCGCCCAGACAACTATCCAATGCCACACACAGATGAACTATTAGAGAAACTGGGACAGGCCCAGTTCATCTCTACCTTGGACTTAACCAAGGGGTACTGGCAGGTACCACAAGATGAATCCACCAAGGAAAGGTCAGCCTTCACCACACATGTCGGGCTGTATGAATTTAATGTACTCCCTTTTGGGCTGTGGAATGCACCCACCACCTTCCAAAGACTTGTAGATGGTCTCCTAGCGGGAGTAGGAGAATATGCAGTTGCCTACCTTGACGATGTGGCCATATTTTCCGATTCCTGGGCAGAACACCTGGAACATCTACAAAAAGTCTTCGAGCTCATAAGGGAGGCAGGACTAACTGTTAAGGCTAAGAAGTGTCAAATAGGCCTAAACAGAGTGACTTACCTTGGACACCAGGTGGGTCAAGGAACTATCAACCCCCTACAGGCCAAAGTGGATGCTATCCAAAAGTGGCCTGTCCCAAAGTCAAAGAAACAGGTCCAATCCTTCTTAAGCTTGGCCGGTTATTACAGGCGATTTGTACCGCAATACAGCCAAATCGCCGCTCCACTGACAGACCTAACCAGAAAGAAACAGCCAAATGCTGTTCAGTGGACCGAAGAGTGTCAGAAGGCCTTTAACCAGCTTAAAGCGACACTCATGTCTGACCCTGTACTAAGGGCTCCAGACTTTGACAAACCGTTCCTAGTAACCACAGATGCATCTGAGCATGGTGTGGGAGCAGTTTTACTGCAGGAAGGACCGGATCAAGAATTCCATCTTGTAGTGTTTCTCAGCAAAAAGCTGTCTGAGAGGGAAAGCAACTGGTCAGTCAGTGAAAAAGAATGTTACGCCATTGTCTACACTCTGGAAAAGCTACGCCCATATGTTTGTTTTCCACCTACAAACAGACCATGCTGCGCTACAGTGGCTTCATACCGCCACGGGAAATAACAAAAAACTTATTCGGTGGAGTTTAGCTCTCCAAGATTTTGATTTTGACATCCAACATATCTCAGGAGCTTCTAACAAAGTGGCTGATGCACTCTCCCATGAAAGTTTCCCAGAATCAACTGGTTAAAATCGTCCTTGAGATGTGAAAAATATTGTTAGTCTTTATATACTTGGTAGTATATTTAGAGGTGCATGTGTCTTATTAACTCTGTTTTCTCCTAGAGCTCCAGGAAGAAATCACAGTCAGCGTTTCACCCTATCTGTGATTTGCGGGGTGTGTCATAAATATAAAGGGAAGGGTAAACACCTTTAAATCCCTCCTGGCCAGAGGAAAAACCCTTTCTCCTATAAAGGGTTAAGAAGTTAGGATAACCTCGCTGGCACCTGACCAAAATGACCAATGAGGAGACAAGATACTTTCAAAGCTGGGGGGTGGGGCGGAAGAAACAAAGGTTTTCTCGGTCTGTGTGTTGCCTTTGCCGGGACCAGAGCAGGAATGCAGGTCACAACTCCTGTAAAGGGTTAATAAGCAATCTAGTTAGATATGTGTTAGATTCTGTTTTGTTTAAATGGCTGATAAAATAAGTTGTGCTGAATGGAATGTATATTCCTGTTTTTGTGTCTTTTTGTAACTTAAGGTTTTGCCTAGAGGGATTCTCTATGTTTTGAATCTGATTACCCTGTAAGGTATTTACCATCCTGATTTTACAAGGTGATTCTTTTACTTTTTCTTCAATTAAAATTCTTCTTTTAAGAACCTGATTGCTTTTTTATTGTTCTTAAGATCCAAGGGTTTGGGTCTGTGTTCACCTATGCAAATTGGTGAGGATTTTTATCAAGCCTTCCCCAGGAAAGGGGGTGTAGGGTTTGGGATGATTTTTGGGGGGGAAAGACGTTTCCAAGCAGGCTCTTTCCCTGTTATTTATTTGTTAGACTCTTGGTGGTGGCAGCAATAAAGTCCAGGGCAAAAGGTAAAATAGTTTGTACCTTGGGGAAGTTTTAAACTAAGCTGGTAAAAATAAGCTTAGGGGGTTTTTCATGCAGGTCCCCACATCTGTACCCTAGAGTTCAGAGTGGGAAAGGAACTTTGACAGCCCAGGGCCCCAATAAATCTTAATCCATCTCTGTGCCTATAGTGGTGTGTTACGTGCTCAGGGGTCCTATCACTTCTCTGTAGTTTAGAAGAGACACCATGCAGATATAGCCGGATGAAGCGGTGTCTGCACAGCACTGTGATGCCTGAGGTTGAGGCAGGGAAGCAGTGCTGAAGAAGAGGCAACAGCTGCCTTTTTTCCACCCACCTTATTACCCATTGAGGCTGCTACCGGACTGGAGTTCCCTTTGACTGGTCCCATAGTGTGCACAGATCTCCGTGCTCAGCCAGTGCTGCTGCTAGCCCCTCCCTGCTCTGTGGGGAATTGTGCCCTGCACGGTCTTTAGAAGGGAGCAGTCTTTGATCTCAGAAGTGTGCAAGGGCTGCAATTTTGCCTGGCCTCTGCAAAGGGGGTAGAGGACTGGGGAAGACTCCTGGCACCCTTCCCTCTTCATTCACCCTCTCTGTGGCCAGTCACACCCTCACGCTTAATGTGTGAAACAAGTTGTTTTTGCCAAATGGATAATATCTGGATTCAAACAAAGTGCCCTGCAACTTTTGGCATTTGCTCCATGACTGGACTGTGGCTTGTATGTTTTTTCCATGACAAACCATCAGCCCTAATCATAACTTTGGGCCTCACAAATTCTAACCAGGTAAGCTCCTATGGCATTTCTTCACTCGCTTGTAATATGTTTATCTCAATCAAATATAAGAAGTTCCACAAGCTTTTGGATTACACGGACAAGGCATTTTTCACCCTAGCCTCTACTTTGGCACCAGTCCCTCTAAACCACATGGAGGTGAACTAAGGGGTAAGAAAAAAGAGACTTTAGAGAAGTTTTTTCCTCCACTTAACTATACACAGTCTTCATAAGCAAGTGTCAGTCATTACCACATGTGGAGCAACTGAGTCCAAAGCAGCCAGTCCAATAATAAAACCCAAGAAAGTGATTCTTGTGAATAATGACACCATACTTTAGTTCTATTGGAAGAGAGGAGCTGGCGCTCCTTGCACCCTGCTCCCAACTCAGCCAGGCTCCCGTCCCTGAGCATTTACACTATCTCTGGACACTGGAAAGTGAGAACTTTGGGATCTGATTCTGCAAACCAACTTCCAGGAGCATCAGATATGCATCTAAGAAGGCCCTGCTCCCTCCTCATGTCCAGGCCACCTGGCCAGTGGCTTGACATGAGCAACTTTAAGGCCGGTAACTATGATAACAACCTTGCAGAACCTCTGTGTGTGTGTGTGTGTTTGTATGAATGAATGTGTGAATAAATATGAGATTGAATGGACTGTTATAGCTATAACTAACTGCTTACTATGATTCTTTCTGTATTCACAATAAATGTGGTATTTTGCCTTTTCCCCTTTAATAAGATCCTGCTGGTTTTTATTTTATTGGTATAACAAGATGGGGAGGTGAGGAGTGGTTCAGCATTCCCTGAGACAGTGTGTTACCCAGGGAAGGGAAAGGAGGCCAACTGCGGCTCAGTCCCCACCCTTAGACCTCTATCCCTGAGCCAGTAAGTCAACCCTGGACTCCTGGAAGGTCAGCAATAGCTCAGTCCCAAACGGTCCTGCCCCTCTGTACTTGAGAGGGTCTGTCAGACCTGGAAGAGAGAGACAGAGTTCCAAAGAAGCTTAATCCCCTCCCCAGGATCCAGGGCCCATTGTCAGTGTGGAGAAGGAATGGGATCCTCCCTGAGACCCTTGTTTCTGAATTGGTGAGTCACAACCAGAGCTAAGGTCGGGAAATCAGCAGAGGCTCATTGTCCCTGTCACTGAGCTGGTGTGTCTCATCTGGACGTCTGGGGAGGTCAACAGAGGCTCAGGACCCATCAGCCTGTCACTGTGCCTCTAGTGTTACAACAGGTAGCAGAATAGCTCTCCTCGTTCCTATCCCAGCTCAGATCACATGTGCAGCCACAGAAGCAGATAACCCCCAGCTAGGTAGGATGCAGCCTGAAAACACCCAATCCCTGAGCTGCAGCAACCAAAGCAAAACACATTTCAAAATAGCAGCATAGTTGTGATCACACCATCTCAGCAAATTAAATCTGGGGAAGTTGGGGGAAATGAGGGGAAGGAATCAAGGCACTCACGTTTGGCAGCAGCATGCAGAACCCCTTCGGCCAGGAGCAGGACTCCGAGGAGGCAGAGACCCTTCATGGTGTGGGAGTGTGAGTGTATTGTGCCCCCAATTCCAGCACAAGTTAACTCTCTTCAGAGAAGTGAGAATACTGTTTATCTGCTGCCCTCCTCCTCTGTGATTAAATGGAGAGCTCCAGGGCTCATCATGTGATGGCATTAAGCAGAGATGCATGATTTCTTGTCTTCAACTCAACTCCCTGCTCATGTGCTTATGACTCACTCCTCTCACTGTAACATTCACTGGCATTTTTAAGAGACCCACTTAGAAACATGCCATTCTCCCCACAGACATTCTTAGATCAATTTTGCCCTGTTCCCAGCTTTTGTAGATGTTTGTTTTCAAATTAAAGCCATTTCCCTTCAGTTACCTCTCGCCTCAGCCCAGTTTGTAATTGTTACTGCAGTTGCTCGTTCCCCTTCTATGAACTTGGGAATATGACTTGCAACATGTTCGTGCAATGTGATGGGTAACATTTCTGGGTTAAAAGGTGAATGCTTGATTCCAGTTCATCACCAGACTTGGGCTTATAGTTAATGCTCATTTTAGGGAAATCATTCTTAAAAGTATCTTCACTGCAGGAGTCAGGACACGCTCATGCATCTGATGTTGCATTTTTGTGATATGTGATGCTACATGGCGGCACATTGTGATGTTGTGATGAAATTGCACCGTCCCTCAAAACATTTGCTGCTATTAATTGTTATTTGTATTAGGTAGTGCTATTATTATAAGGTTTATTAAGACAGCGTGTAAGGCCCAGAGGGTTTCGAACACAGGCCTGCAGGGCTGCGAACACCTCCTCTTCCCCTCAAGGCCCTGCCCCCATGCCACCCCTTCTCCCTAAAGCCCCCATCCTTGTGCCACCCATTCCCCCGATGCCCTGCTCCTGCACCACCTCTTCCCCCCAAGATCTTGCCCCCCCTCCCCGCTCGCTCCTCTCTGCTCTCTTGCCCCGTTGCTCGTCCTTACAGCCAGTAAAAAGTGATGGGGCCATGGTCCCCAAACCCACCCTGTTCCAGTGCCTCTGTCCACTACCTTGATCCGCTGGAGACACAGACCACAGAAAGCAGCACTTTTGTGAAGAGGCTTCTTCGCTGACGAGAGAGTTTCTCATGTTGGTGTAGTTAATCCGCCTCCCTGAGAGGTGGTAGCTATGTTGACAGGAGAAGGTCTTCCATGGACATGGCACTGTCTACATGGCAGGTTAAGTCAGTATAACCACATCGCTCAGGAATATGGATTTTTCACACCCCCTTAGTGGTGTAGTTATATTGATATAGGTCTGTAGTGTAGACCTGGCTTCATTCTAGATTTTGTGCATTTTCTTTTTCCATTTACTTATGTGGTGGAAATCAGTGCTTTCATGGACATCCGTGTAATTGGAGGAGAAATCCAACTACACTGTGAGTTGAGTCAAAACTGAAATGAAACAGAAAATGTTTGGATACTGTCACTCTTTTGTTTGGCCAGCAAAGTTAACAAAGCTAAAAATGATGTAACTGGCCTCAGCTCTCCAGACTGAATTGATTGCCTGAAACCTGGAACTTCTCAAAGGCTGAATGATCTGACAAGTCTTCTGCTAGCCCACTTCAAGTGACTTCTTATTATTTGTGTAAGTGTAAATTAATTCCTCTGAAATACACTGCAGAACTATTTAAATCAGTTTTCATCAGACCAAATTAGTTTATCACTGCCAAAGCTTTCATTCACTTTATAGGTTTCACATGAGAGCTAATCCTGGCTTCCCATTGAGAAGTGGATTTGCAGTCCAAGAAAAGTTCATGTATAATTACAATTTGAGTAAAAAATTTGATGTCTATATCAGAGTTAAGGAAAAGAGGAGTTAATGAAAATTATCTTAAACATCTAGATAAACAAAGATAATACAAATTAAGGGAAGTTTTAAGGACTTGACCTTACAAAGAGCTGAGCGTGCAGGGTCCTCAGAATATCACAAGAAGTATTCAGTATGTCACAGGATAAAGCCCTGATTGTGACAGAGTTGGCATGTTCTTGTTGTTACATCTTTCCATCTCCTCAACACCAATACAAGAGTGATTATTCTGAGCTTAGAGAGGGTGACTATATTTCCCTATACTGAATACGGGACACCTGGTAAAATTACTCATACTCAAGTGAGTTCAAAGGCAATCAATCATACAAACATTTAAATTAACATCAAGTTGACTAAGCCCCTGTTAAAAAGACATATTGTGTAGTTGGATTCTTTTTATCTACCTACTTATTTTTAAGGCTTTAGGATTCACATCACACAGGGAGGGGTGACACACACCCCCTTCCCACCTCTCCACCCCCAGACACTGAGAGGTGACACACACACACACACACACTCCATACACCTCTCTCACACAACAGATGTGACTGACCAATCTGATCCTCCCTGCCCGGTGCTCTCCACCCTCCATGCCTAGCTGGGCCCCCGGGATGGACCTGCCTCTCCTGGTACCTGGCACCACGTCTTCCTGAGGCAACATGTGGATTTCTGCCAGAGTTCATGCCAGTATGTGGTCGGCACTGTGCGGGAGGGAAAGGATGGGAGCTGCTTCCAGCTGCAGGGGGGAGATGACCTGCCCCCTGTCTTTGCAGAGCTCATCTCTTCCTTCCCTGCTGCCCCAACCTGTGTGGCTGGAAGCAGCTTGTCCCTTCCTGCCCGCACAGTGTCGAAAGGCTGTCAATACCTCCAAGCTGCTGTTGGCCACCAACATAACCCAGCTGCCTCCTGTCCCCCCGCTGCAGCACGGGCAGGAAGGGGTTCGGCCCTAAGGATGCATTGTGCACCAGAGCCCAGGGAGCCTGACTGCAGGGGCTTCAGCGAACCCGGCCAGAGAGGTGGCTCAGCAGAGGAAGGTGCCTAGGGGATGGAGCAGCCTCATGCTCCCTGGGGGCAGGGGTGTGTGTGAAGAGGGTGCTAAGTCCCTGCCCCAGGGGCTGCTGTGGAACCTGCAGGGTCGGGGCACAAAGAGGCTGGAAATCGCTTCCCTCCCCCGTTGCTCCAGAGCTGAGCTGAGGGGCGGAGAGGCTTCCACATGCCAGCGCTGTGCCGGGCCTTGGCACATGCAGGGCTCAGCTCCTCCCAGCCAGAGGCAATGGGGGAAGGAAGGAGGCTGCAGGCCAGGCTGTTGGTGAGCTGAGCGCTCCGACCAGGGGCTGGTTCTCCACACAGTGCTGGGAACAGAATGCGCCCCGCCGGGTGGAATATGGAGGAGCAGAGCGGCTGGGGGGGTGGGGGGAGAGGGAAGAGTCAAAGCAGGGAGTGGACAGCGGGAGGGGGAGCACATAAAGGGCCGATGGGTGGGCAGCAGAGGTGACATGTAACCAGACACTGCCTAGCGCCTGCCCACACTCACCAGCCACTGCAGCTCGCAGCACACAGCTGGTGCCGGAAGGAAATGGGATGGGGGGGGGCGGGGCCCTGCTGGGCACACAGTGGGGGCTGTGGTGATGGACCAGCAGGAGGAGTGGCTGGTCCCACACACAGCATCTTCGCCCCGCCACCAGCTTTGCACACCCACCCTTATCATTAGACCCCCTTGCCCCATCACCACTGGTGGGCAGGCAGCTGGCGAGCAGGGATTCAGCCACCAGTACTGATGTGGAGAGAGAGAAAATACAGGACAATTTGTCTGTTTTTAAGAAAAAGCTGTGACACATGCAGGAGGGCTTGTATACAGGACTGTCCCTGTAAAAACAGGACGTCTGGTCATCCAAAGCTTACAGGAATTGTGAGAAAACTGAGTTTAGTTTGTTATTGTTAAAATAAACTAAATGAGGGAATCAGCGACAACAAAATGCTGTTTGCTAAACATTATTTGCCACCCTCAATGTGCTTACTAGGGAAACCCATGGTCAGGCTACACATGCTGCCCTTCCGGTGAAACGTCCACATCACCCTCTGCATGTGACAGCTGGACACCAGCTGACCAGTTTGAAAACAAACACAGCCACTTTTGCCTTCTAAAATCTTTTTCGAAACATACCAGTCACAAGCTTTTGATTGGTATTTAGAACATCCAGATCAGTAAGAGCAAAACCTTGCTAATGAACAACCAGATGTATAACAATCCATTGGGATCATCTAGTCTGACCTCCTGTAGAATACAGGCCATGGGACTTACAATAATTTAGATATTTCTATCATCATTTTTGGGGTACCTAATGCTACAGTTAAGAGTGCAAAGCCAGGATTTATTAGAACTCATTTTCACTCAGTCATACCTGTCTCTACATTTCTTTTTTTTAGGCTGATATTTTCCAAGCTTGGTCTCTGTCCAAGTGAATTCTTTTGGAATTGTGTTAATATATATATTTTACTAGAGAGAGATGCCAAATGACCAGCAATTTAAGGGACAGCTCAGCACTTTGAAGTTTGAATCCTCTAAAAATATGAACCCTCCAAGTCCTCCCCCTCCCTCCCCCACCACACACAAATTATTTTTAAAAGTGCATGAGTGTCAGGGAGGAGTTTTCTTCAGTCTCTTTAGGGTTGCTACTTGCTAGAAAGGGTGTCCATCCCAGGAGGATGTGTAGTTAGAACAGAAGACTGGTCAGAACTCCTGGGTGCTGCGACTGGTGGCCCCACTGACTCTCTGGGTAACCTTAGGCAAATCATCTAATCTGCCTGTGCCTCAGTTTACCCATTTGTAAAATAACAAAAATTACTAAACATGCGTTATTTTTAAGTCTAAGTATTAGATTTATTATACTAAATTTCTAATAGATTTGTGAACTGCAGATTACAGGGCTAGACCTGTTTCACGGTAGATACATAAACAGCGGTTACACATGGTTTATATTCATAGTGACTCTTCAAAGTGCAATCATCATTCAGTCTGCAGGGCATATAATTACTTTGAAAGAACATAGTTACTACTCTGTTGTATGCCATTTTATATGCTTCACTACATCACTTAATAATAACATCTATTCAGCCATCTTTCATTAAAAAACGCCAAGGTTTTGCTACTGTATATCTTTCAGCTACATACAGTGCAACCAAATTATTGCTGAAAATGTCACCCTGATATTTCTAAAGGCATTTATTGATATTTTGGAGAAAGAGAGAGAATTCTTTAAAA